CCAAAAATCTCACTCATCAAACGAATGACTAAATGAGCAGTTTTCATTTATCTTTCTTTTGGAAGCCTGTTCAATATGCCAGGTATTCAAGGTACCTTTTTTGTTTTTCTCAGTGCACCGCCTTGGTCAGTGGCATCCACAGTATTGCACGCGCGTCTGGCTGCCTGTTGTCGCGTTTGGCCCGCAAATTGATGCACATTTGATGCGGCGACGTCGCGGGTTCGCTGGGTCCTTCTCCTCCTCACTCATGTATGCAATATGAAAGCTCTTTCTTCGCGCTGCCCCCTCTTGCCACCCCACTTAACACTCCCCACTCCCCGCTGCTTCCGACATCCTTGCAGCCTATCAGTTAAGGTTTATTGATGTTTTGATAGAGATCAGCGCTCTCGGCGATTTTCGCCGTGTTCTTCTTGCCGTTCAGTGGATCGCTCAGTGGATCGGCGATTTTCCGGCGGTGGGTTCGCGGTGGCGGTGGCTTCCTTGTGGTGTTTGTTATGGGCCAGGAGAGGCGATTATCTCCCGATGCTTAACTTGGCCCGCGAAATTGTGTCAAAAATTATGTTGTCGTGTGACGGCGAACGGCCATTCAAGGCTCTTATCTCGGGCTCCCCTCGCAACTTAATTAAAATATTAACACTGGCGCAAGAAGAAGACGGAAAGTGGGTTCTTGGCCATGTGGTTGGCGTATATTATGGAATCGAGCCAGGGGAAAAAACAAAAATCGTATTCAGTAAAAAACCGGCTACGGCCATGATTTTCCAACCATTTTGTCTTGGCCAGAGAGATAAAAAAGTGTTCGAGAGAGAGAGCGAGAGACAGAGAGGGAGAGAGATCTGGCCAAAACTATTTCGCTGGAAACCGCTGAATTTCTGAATGGCAGCGACTTGAGATACATTCGCCGCACGGCGAATTCGAGGTGAGTTTCTGCAGTTCTCTCTGCGTTTCTCTCCGGGTTGGCATTTATGGAATGTGAGCGCTCAAAAATGCGTTAAAGGTGTTTATAAAATTAAAATTGTGCAAAACAAGTCGCGTAAGCTCCGAGGGAGAGAAAATAATCTCCGGAGAATAAGAGAGAAGACCCCTCTCGCGCTCTCTCTCTTTCTCTCTCTCTATATATATCTCTGAGAAAAACCAAGAGATATGGCCGCATAAAAGGGCATCGCATCGGTGTTTAGAAAAAAGTGAATCGAGCCGAGAGACAAAGAAAATTGGTGCACACTGAGCGCCGCATACGCAATCAAGGAAAGGTGGAAAAAAGGTGGGCATGGTGGGGGAAGGGGGCTCCTGGGGGCGGGGAACCTGCCACTCGCACCCTCCGCCAGCGGAAAACCAGTTTGTGCGGAGCGTTTGTGCATTAGAGGAGCGACCACATAACTTGGCCAAATAGGCAGATCGTGTTCCCTTCGGGAGCCCCCTGAAAGGCCTCCCCTGCCCCAAGCCCACCCCCTGGCAACACAGCTTTGTAATTGTGGGAGCCACCCGAAAAAGAGATTTACCTACCATAGATTAGCCAAACAATGCGAAATTACAACACCCAAGAACACGCGGAGAAAATGCGAAAAGTGAAACTGCGACATCAAAATTAAGCAGCTTATTTGTATCATGCCTTGCATTATAATTTAGGATGATCAAAAAAAGTTATTCTAAATAAATTAGTGATTCCCCAACTCCCGCTTAAGTATTCCCATGCCGGAAATGTTGGGAGGTATTTTCTCTCACTGCAGCAGAAATAACATCTAATTTCGGTGCTCAGCCAACTTATAGTCCGCACTTACTGCGAACTTGTTGGCAGTCCGAGGTTCCAGCTGCCAATCTTTTGGCTTTCGTTTCGGATGGTTAGGGGGATCGCAGAGCGGGCGGAATGGCTTAGGAATCTGCGAGTGCAGTTCCCACATTCCCTCACTCTCCCTTTCTCTGTCTCTGTCGCTCCCCCATGTAATTGCCTGTAATTTAGTGTGTAACTGCAATGGAAACAACAAATCTAAGATGACAACAACCACACGACGAGCAAATTATGTTGTCGTTCTCTACTTCTTTTCCGCTGGAATGGCCAAAATGGGACTCCAAATTGGGCGGAGGAGTTAAGCTAAGGGTGAGTAATGGGGAAGGGGAGGAGCGGGTGCCGCATTTCTGGGTTATTTTGTTTTTCTCCTCTTGTAATTTGCATAATGAGATTTTAATTTTAACGCTCGCATAATATTTTCAAATGGGACGAGCAGCGGCCCTCTGCCACTCCCACTTGGACGCAAGTTCGTTGCCTAAGTCTTTTGTTTCGTGGCCCGAATTAAAGTGTAATTTGGTTAGCCATTAGTTGGTCGGGGTCGCGAGAGTCGACGACGGAGGAGAGTCGGAACGGCGGCATTTGATCGCCACTAATTAAATAGAGTTTCCGCTTCTTCGGCTAGAAAATAATACAGTGGCAGTGAGGGCAACAACAGCTGCCTGGAATGGCCAAGAACCGAAAGGCGTGGCCGGGAAAGGCTGAAAGGGAAGAAAGAGGGAAGATCCTCATCAATGTACCAGAATGTGGCCAAAAAGGTTGAGAAAGGGTGGGGGTTAGAATCACAATAGATCGTTTATGATCTTAAACTTAAGAAGCCGCAGTTATAAAAGTCTTTTCTTCGCCCGTTTGCTGCATCACAAATAAGACTGCAAAATGCTGAACAAATTCGTTGAGACCCCTCTTTTTGATCTCCTGATTCCCCACAGTTTCTCCTTCAATTATCTTCGATAATTGCAAATTCCTCTGATCCGATGCAAACTTCTGCGCCGGGCAATGACGAGCAGCTGGCAAAGTATTTCGGCTTCTCACTAAAAGCGAGTGGCAGTTATGCCAAAGAGTGCTCTCTTCTGGACTTCGGGGATTTGAAAACTTTGGGCAACTATTTGTGGCTTTTGTTTTTAGAATTATTTGCTTTTTCGGACAGCAACTCCCCTCCCTGACTGATATTCGTATGTGATTCTTTCAACGACTTTTTTCCGTTGCTCGTTTTTAATTTGCTTTAGTTGCGGCCATAAAAAATTTGCTGGAAGTCTGGCCCTTTGGCCAGAGCTTCTTGTTTCCCTTTTTCTCATTTCGTTGTTTTTTCATATACCAAATTCCAATTTTGAGTTTTTTCGAGTTTGGGTTGGGTTTTCGGGTCTGGGTCTTTTATTGTCTTCACGACCACAGACTGGCTTCAATATGCGGCCGAAAAACAAGATGATCGGGCAGCGGGGACAGCGGGCATCTGAATTTAGTTTCTAGGGCCTCCACTTCGGACGCATTTTATGATTATTGAGCTCCCAAATCGCACCAGATACCGAAAGATCCCTTAGTACGGACGGCTATCCATCTCTTTCTCAATTCTTTAGATTGCCGAGTTCAGACCTCATCATTTCAGTTTCGGTTTCTGTTATTTTATTTTTGCGTGAGCCAATTATGAGTTTTGTATATCGCATTATGTTCGTTTGTGGTTACTTTTTTACTTTTCCTCCATTGTAATTAGGGAAACGTGACTTTTTGTCAGATTTCATCAAATCTCTTCGCTGTCGAGAATTGGCGTTGTTATTCCAACTTATTGTTGCTTTGTTTCTCCATCCCGGTGCCCGTTAATTTGGTCCCTCTCACGTTGTTGTACTTTTAATGAGATTTGATTTGATTCGATTTGATTTGATTCGCCTTGATTTGCGGAAACCATCAGTTGAGCTTAAATTAGCCCTTACCTTAGATCTGCCTAGGAGTTGACATTTCAGACCGAATTTTACTTTGTATTAAAGGTGAATCACAAAGCTGCTGCATGAATCACTATTTATTTTTTTTTTTTTTTGGCTATAATGAAGTTTTCTGAACAAACTATGCTACCTAGAAAATTAAAATACATTTGTTTTTAGCATCCTCAAATGCAACTCTAATGGATTCATAGTCAAGGGTATTCTGTTCTTCGAAGCGTTTTCTCTATCTTTTTATTGTAAACAATGGTCTGAGTCGAAACTCGTGTTGTTGTTATATTGCTGGGAAGTTTGGAATCGCGGCTACATTTTCAGTCAGTCGGTCGCGGGTTTTTTTTCCGCTGCGATGTCGGTTTGTTTTTTCGTTGTTTTCCGAGAGACAAGAGAGGTCACATTTGATAGTCTGAACAAAATCTTGTCGACGTCTCGAGACGCTCTTGTATCTAGTGTTCGGCCCCAAAGAAGAATGGCTGATAGCCGCCGAAGAGGAAAGAGCGGACAAAATGCCTTCGTTAAGCGCTGGAAACAGTTTTAGGCCTTGTCTCTCCGTTGTTGATGTTTTTTCAAAGTTTTTTCCCTATTTTTCGGGCTGCCCATTTTGTTTTTGTGAGCGGAGAAAAATGTTATAAAAATGTAATTACCCGATGATGAATGGATTAACTACAAAAGAGTGAGAAGCCTGCATTGCTCGGGGTGAGCGGATAAGGCGGTGGTCGGGGGCTTTGGGTGGTGTTCGTGGAGTTTTTGTTGCCTCAAAGAAGTTACAATACTGAAAGAATAACAATCAACTTTGGGGATACCCTCACCAAATTATTTATCGACTTTCAATGCTTTCTAAATCACTTAATTTCAGAGTGATAACAGCTCGAGTGGAACCATAAGCCAAACAATTCTTTCCGAGATCACAAACCTCATCATAAATCGTGTATACCCTGCGAACCCTACTGCAACTCGTGGCATGCACCGCTGCCATTCGGGCCTCCCGTTCCCCTCACGATTCCCTACGGATATCGAAGTCAATGTTTGAGGTCCGATGTCTGATGTCTAACGTCCGCCGTCCGCCGTCCGTCGTCTGATGTCCGATGTCCGACTGACTGATCTGACTGGGAGCGGGTAATTGATGCATGAGATTAGTTTTGGGGCCCAAGTACGTGGAAAATCCATAAGTGACGCTCGTTGTGTGGATTCGAGGCAGTTGGCGAGACAAACGTTTTAATGACCCACCGGGAAGTGGGTCAGCTTGGGAAACGGGAGTTGGATGGTGCGGACGGTACCAGCTAATGACTCACCTTGAGTATGCACCTGCCCACGGGCTCGTTCTCGGCGACGGAAACGTTGTAGAAGCTCTGGTCGAAGATGGGCTCGTTGTCGTTCACGTCGTGGATGGTCACCAGCACGGTGGCGCTGGAGGAGAGCGGCGGGACGCCTCCGTCCCTGGCCACGACCGTGAGCTGCGGCACCGGCTCCGTCTCGCAGTCGATGTGCGACCGGGTGGTGATCAGGCCCGTCTGGGGGTCGATCTGGAACCACTGGGCGTGCGTCTCGGGGGTCTCGGCCAGGGAGTAGCTGAGGGCCGAGTTCAGGCCCTCGTCGCGGTCGTGGGCCAGGACCTGCAGCACCGAGGTGCCCGGGTCGGCCACCTCCATCACGTTGGCGTGGTACAGCTCCTGCTCGAACTCCGGCGGGTTGTCGTTGACGTCGGTGATGCGCAGGAAGATCGACTTGGCGGCGTGCAGGGGCGGCGTTCCCTTGTCGGTGGCCACCACGCTGAGCGTGTAGTTGGAGACCATCTCCCGGTCCAGCGGCAGGTTGACTATCACCAGGTAGATGCTGTTGTCCCGGGTGGCCAGCGCGAAGTGTCCGTCCCCGCCGTTCAGGGTGACGTTCACGTTGGCGTACTCCGCCTTCGAGTCCGGGTCGTGCACCGATATCCTGGCCACGAACTCCCCCGGCTGCGCGGACTCCGAGATCTTCGGGGAGGCGTCGTCGCTGAGGAAGATCACGTTGATGGTGGGCTGGTTGTCGTTCACATCGGTGACCCTGATAGACACAAAGGCCGTCGTCTCCAGCGGCTGTTCGCCGTGGTCCTTGGCCACCACCACCAGTTCGTGCAGCTCCTTGGTCTCGAAGTCCAGGGCCTTGTTGATGTAGATGGCCCCTGTCCGGGGGTCGATGCGGAACATCTGCTCCTTGTCGCTCTGCCGCCTGTTGATGGCGTACTCCACCAGGCCGTTCTCGTCGGCGTCCGTGTCCGAGGCGTAGACCTGGAGGACACTCGTGCCCACGGTGGCGTTCTCCGGAACGGTGGCGAAGTACCGGCTCTGGTTGAAGATCGGCTGGTTGTCGTTCACGTCCTGGATGGTGATGTTGACGGTCATGAATCCCCGCAGCGGGGGACTCCCGCCGTCGAGGGCTTCGATCAGGAGGCTGTAGCCCGGCGTGGTCTCCCTGTCCAGGAAGCCGCTGATCTGCAGGTCCAAGTAGAGCACGCCATCCCGCTCCCTGTGCGAGGAGAGCCTGAAGGCGTCGTTCACGTTCCCCGAAACGATGTTGTACTTCTGGGTGTTGTAGGGCTCCAGGTCGAGGTCCCTGGCCGGGAGCAGGGTCCTCTTCACCTCCCGGGGCGTGTTCTCCGGGAACTCGATGTGCATCGAGGGTTGCGGGAACGTGGGGGCGTTGTCGTTCTCATCCTTCACCGTGACCACCACCCGGATGTTGCGGCCACTCAGGGGAATGGCCACCAGGCTGTAGGAGGCCCGCGCCTCCCGGTCCAGTTTCACCTTGGTGCGGATCTCCCCCGTGGCCCGGTCTATGGCCAGATCCGTCTCCACTCCCGCCTCCGCCACGATTATGTACGGAGGCCCACTGTCGATCCCGTCGAAGTCCCCTATGTAGCCGATCTGGTGGTCCACGGCCACGCCCTCGAAGACCTCCAGCCTGCGCTCCCGCTCCTTGTCACTGGAGGCGGCCAGGGAGGACCCCGCGAGCAGGATCACCATGAGGCAGAGTAAGCTGCTCCTCAGCATGTGCGAAGGATGCAGGGCGGGGGGCGAAGATCTCGATTTGCTGATGGAGCATCTCCGGCATCGATGGAACATTGTGAAGTCCTTCGGCTGGTGACTCCCAGCGGACGTCCTCGTCATCGTTTTCCTGGCGGCGCCGGTTCCAAAGCGGCTTTCGTGGTTCGAGAATCCTCTCTGGGTGGGAGAACTCTAAAAGGAGCTAAGAGCGCCCTTGGCGGAGGTTGCCTCCTTCCAACTTGGCCATGGCAAATCTGAAACGGAATTAACAAAAGGTTAGTGAAAGATATTGATATCGTTTCTCTACTTGTTCGTCTTTATAGAATTTCATAGAGTAAGCCCTAAACTAATCCGCACTCCTTCCATCACTTCACTTTGTGGCAGTGTAATAGTGACAAATGTGCTGACCACGGTCACCGCCCACACTTGAAGCTTCGGGCCTAGACAAAAGCCAGCCTAAGAACCCCCAAGAGAAGGCCCATAGTCGCGGCTAATAGACTGATAACTGCCCCAATGCGCTTAGCTCTGCCCGATGACTGCTGCAATGACCACGGTGGGAATGGAGGGAATGGACAGAATGGAGGGAGTGGAGGGGCTTACGCACGGCGGAGGCATTTCCATTTGGCCATTTGGGGGAATTTGAAATGCTAATAGACGGCCAAGAAGATCAGGAATGAAGACAAAAGACCCAGACACGGACGAGTCGGAGTCGATTCTACCTGCGTGCGAAAGGTTCAAAGGCTAAAAGGGTCTCTCGGTTTGCTTGGGCCTCTGCCAACTGGTTCTGGTTTGGGCTTCGATGAATTATGGCTGGCACACACAAACAGACGCACACACACACACACACACACACATTCCGAGGGAAATCGAAGAGACCATTCCTCCGACTCAGAACTAATGCCATGTGGCTGGAATCGGACTCGAAACGGGAATGCTTCGAAGTCCGAGCAATTCGTGGCGAACAATTTAGTTAACAAGGCCATGACTAACACTTTTTTGAGTGGCCAAAACAACATTTGTTTCCACTGCAATTCGGAGAGATGTTTCTCGCGCGATAAGCGAAAATAACGAAGGGAGGCGAACAATATATAAAATTATGATTATTATTTTGGGAATGCCTTAGAAACCCCGGTTCGTGATCAGATAGAGATCTTACAACTGCTAACTCTTGGGAACTCGGCCCAGATGATCCTGTTCGATCATAAAACCGAATAAGTGAGTCTCGGGAAACGAAGAGATCAAACTGGGCGTTAGAAGACTGACGGATTCTTCCCCTTCACTCGACTGACAGACACCATCCTCCTCCGGAGAAAGAGAGACTTCTGCGGAGAAATTAGCCAGCTCCAACTGCAGGCTCCGCCTTTCATGTCCACCGGGAGATGCCGCTGCCATTAGGCCTCTAATAACTTTATAATGATCATGTCCCTTCCTTCGCAGACTGAGGCGTAATTTAATAAACTGCAACGGGGCCTCCATCAAGTCGCCGAGGAGCCCGTTGGACCCGAACTCTGTGATACGCAAATTACCCCAGGAGAAACGGACACGAAGGCGGGGGGGCGGGGAGTGAGCCGCCGTTGCGGAAACGTCAGTTTGATTTGCACTTGTCATAAGTTTAGATGAACTGCTAATACCCGAACACATTAGAAAGCCCGTGGAGCGTTGCCCGATCCCTGGCGCCCCAGTTGGACAGTCCCGTCCATCCGTCCGATCCGCAGATCTCGGGTCGCCGAGCGTCCGACTTGAGTGCCAGCTGGCGGTCGGCAGGCCGCCTTGCGTGTGGCTGCACCTGAGAACTGAGAACTGGGAGCTGGGAGCTCAGATCTGAGATCCGTTGCAAGTGGCAGAGTGGCTGAGTGGCAGGGTGGACGAGGCAAGAGGGCTGTGGGAATGGCCAGTGGACGGGGCAAGATAGAGGCCTGCACGGCGAGAAAAGAGGTGCAAGAAGGCAAAGCTCTAACCATAGATCGACTGCTCATCAAGAACGCAAATGCCCCTCCTACCCAATGGAAAATTACTCCAGTTCGGGAGTACTTTTCTCTCTGTGTGCTAATAAATGGGTATCTCGGTTCTGTGCACTCTGGCGGCATCTAATATCGAATGACAATGTTGTAATTATATTTGTGGTTCCACTTCTTTGCTGGGGTTCCAGGGAGTTCCTAACAATTTCACGTTGCCAGCCCAGGTTTGGTCATTAAGAATTATGCTTTTTCCCGGGAGAATTTAATTTTTTTGTTTCTGTTTCGTTTTCCGTTGTTTTTACGAGCGCACAAAAGCTCGTAAACGTACCAAAAAAAAAGGAGAAATAAACAATCAGAAACAAAAACAGAGCGGCATCAATAAAACCTAGTTAATAGCAAATAAAAGCAACAACAAATACCCATAACCCCGCAGAGCGGCATAAAACATACACAATCATAACAATAACAGCGTAAACTTTACGGCCCAACTAATTAGGCTGGCGAATGGGAAAAGGAGAATAGGAGATTCAAGGAGGAGGAACGCGGAGGATCGCTTGAAATCCAGAGATGTTGTAGCCAGAAAGCTACTGAGCTGCAAAGGAGGATCCTGTTCGATACTATGTACAGGCTGAAATCGGCTGGAGAAATACGAATGGGAATGGTCTGGCTTGAAACTAATTTATTCAGTTTCCAAAATATTTTGGCGGCTCTCACAAAACTGGGGGCTTAGTCCCCCATTCCGGCGATCAAATGAAGCCGCAGAATCGGTAGCCGGAAGAAGTGTTTTGCCAACGCTTAATCACTGGCCAAACAACGGGCAACTAAAAAAATAAAGCTCTTTGGAGACTTCATTAACATGCACATTACACATGTAGCCGAGATTTTCTACTCGAACAATTAAAAAGAGTCAAAGAAGAAAATCAACTTGTTTGGGCCGAGGTTGTTGTTGCCGCGGTTCCGCTTGTGATTTAACTGCAAATTATGCAAAGTTGTTGTCTAAAACCAGAGGCTAAGTAGGTGGTAAGTAGACGCTTTAGAGCGTGTTTAATTAAATGTTGAGTAATTTATGAAAACTGGAGGGGCGGAGTGGGGAGTGGGTTTGTACTGCAGGCCCGCCAGCTAATAAGTTATTTCTAATGGCTTTCTAATTGTCCGACACACACGAGACGGCGGCCGTAAACAGTGAAACTTTAATTGTCCGCATATTAATCGAACTCATTTAGATGCAAATCCGAGAGATCCGACCGCCCGGATCCGCGATCTTCGAGATCCCCGAGATCCACGAGAGACTCGAGGCCAACCAAGCGCGACAGAGATCCAAAACTGCGAAAGCGTGAAGTAAACACGAGAGTTTTTCTGCTAGGAAAAGTGCGAAAATGCAAGTGAAACCGAGCTGCAAAAGTCATTCTCGTTTTCATTACGATTTCTGTTTCCATTTCGTGTTTGCCTTGTTGTTTCATTTATTGAGTTTCGCTTTTCGAAAAGGGCCTTGGCCAGCGTATCAAGCCAGTTTGACACTCTTAATTTGCCAGACGGAAAGGATTCCCGATTCCTGTGAGAAATCGCATAATGAGCGCTAATTAGTGGCAAGTCTCAGCAGAAAACTCAGACGAAGATGAAATGCAGTGGTTATATCTTATCGCAGTCGCGACAGCGGCAACATCTCAAAGTTGACGAAGGGAGCGCCTTCCTTACAATTGTGTAACTCTAAAACAGCTATGATAGCTGCAATGCAAATTAATGAAACATACTTAAAAGACAGAATATGGAGTAACCTTGGATTGCAGTTCTGCGTTACAATTATGGGAAATTAATAGTTTTACTGCGGCACCGGAAGCCATAACATTATCTTCTCGCTGACTCAGATGCCCAGCTTTGTTTAAGTAGTCGAAAGCATTTAGCAATAATTGTCATGGCCGAGTGTGTTTTTGGCCATTGTTTGGCGCGTTTTATGGTCGCAATTAAGGCATATGGCCAAGGCGCTTCTCTAACACTAATCCCCGATCCCCCGGTTCATTAACCCCCGTCGTAAAACACACAAATATTTCTCAATCAGCAGCCGATCCGATTTCGATGGGCAGCCAAATGTGTAGCGTTCCGTTCCCGCTTATCTCGAGTCGTTTTATTTCTGGTTCTATAACGAAGGTTGATCAATAAAACAAATCAACTTATGTAGGCAACATGTTTATGGGTCCGAAAAGAGTGTGAAAACTTAATACGAATATCCGATTCAAAGAGAAAATGTTTGCTTATCGACCTCATCAATAATTATCAAATAAAGGAAATTGTTTTTAGAGTTTGATAACATAAATTGACTTAAAATATAAACATGTGTATCGCAAAACCTGAATATCTGATTCTCCTCAAGACTTATGTTCAAGAATTTAAATTTATTTATTCTGCTGAGACTGATTAATGGCATTCCGAACTTAATCTCGATTTAATGATGTTTACCCGTGCAATATCACGGCTAGCACTAGTGGGCAATAAAGCCAAGCCAGAACGTTAGATTGGCCATCGCAGAATGCTCAAATTAAGATGGTTTATTGTTCAGCAAGTATGTATGGCCACCAAGCATGAGATGGAAACTACAACCTGTTCCATTCTTATCCCAGCAAAGAAGTGTCTTATTCCAGCGACGGACGATGAACATATTCGCCGACTAATCACAGGCCGAGTCACATTCGAATGTCCGCGGTGCCAACTTGCATGAGGCTCAACAAAGAAATTAGCGCGAGGAAAGCCCCTTCTCCCCTTTGGGAGCGGGTGTTTCTAGCAGGTGCGTGTCTTCCCACACACAGGGGAAAACTGGTGGTAACTTATCACGCCAGCTTTTCAAGTTCAAGGCTCCAAAAAAACTTAAGGCTGTTCCCTAAAGCGAATGATGCAATAAATTACTGGGCTGAATTCATGATAAGAATTATGAAGAAATCATATAGCTTAAGAAAATCAAATGAGAAGGGGAGAACCATAAAATTATTTCTTTGAGTGCCCGCCACGAACACGTCTAACGTAATTTTCTCGGCACATCGAGCTGGACGTGTGTGGTCCGCTCTGATGGCTTTTCCTCCGCACACACGCGAAAATAGATTAAAGCGTAATCTTTGTTTGTACAGCGCTAAGCATTGCGGCAATTAGTGGGGAAAAGGGGAGAGCCGGCGGACACCGAAGCAATTTAAAGCGCATTAAACTGCGTTTTGCAAGTTTGTGTCCTAAGTCTTCCGTTTGCGCGCCCGCACCTTTGGCCGCACACCTGCCGCCTAGAGATAAAACGAACAGAACCTCGAGACCATGCCCGTTAGGTCTGATAAAGCAAATATTCGGAGGGGCGGGGTACGAAAACACACACACAAAATGGGAAATGAGAAGTATATTTCACTTTGCTCTCCCTTCTCTCGGCTCAACTTTGAACTCGGCGGTCTTTTGTTTTCCGTTCAGGGTTTTCAGCTAACTCGGGGGAAGTGTAAATTAAGGACCATAAAAAGTGGCCCTAATGTCCGACTGCTCTGGCTTTTAGCAGCATGAAAATTGAAAAAGGCCCCCCGGTCTTAGATTCGTAATAATTTAACAACGCACAGAAATTTAATTGGAATGGCATTAAAAAACCCGAGCACGCCTCGAACTTCCTCCACGAATAGTCAATTATAAAATAGTTTCATGCTGTTACTGAGAACTCACTATTTTTGGGAAATGGACTTACTGTGCTTATGTCGAGAGATTGACAGATTGAAAAATTTAGAAAAACGATTGGTTTATTTTTATGAAATACTTTGCTATGTGTCATTGTCAAATTGAAATGTACAGCAAGATCTATTTAACCAGCACTCTCTATCTCCAATTGACTTCGAATTTTATTTTTCTGTGTACAACTTGCTATTGTCATAGCTGCCTGAATTTGAGTGGAGGTTTTCCTGGAATCACAGTTGGGCGACACTTTGCGCACATTTCCAATTCCTTCACGTGTTACTCCGTATCGACCGAGATTAGAGATCGATCGAGCCTCAATCGTCGTCGCTTGGCGATGTGTAAAACAGGTAGAAGAAAATTCAACCACACCAACGCCAAGAACACCGACTCTGTTTGTTTTTCCACATTTTCCCCGAGAGCGGACAAAAAGAGGCGAAGATGAAAAAGAGGAATACTCGAACAGCGGGCAAAGAAACGGAATACAAAGTGGGGAACGAGAGGCAGAAACACACAGAAATAGATGGAAATGGAGGCACCCAAGAGGAGGCGGTTCACAGAGAGTAGAATGTGTGTTTTCCTCCTCTGCAAACCCCTTTCTTCTTTGCGTTCGATTACCAATTTGACTATTTCAAGTTGTTTTCGCTCCTGTTTCATCCACACACAAAAGGAAAACATCTAATTAGGCTCCGCCCGAACTGAAACTTTCCAAATTATGGGTGTTTACCTCATATTTCTGAGGCCTTTTTACGGTTCGTTGGTACCCACTAATTTTCTAAACTTTGTATAGATAATGGTCTCTACTTGTTTGCAGATTTCCAATTACATTGATTTCGGGACTTTTTTTTATAAAATCTTTAGTGCTAAAAATTTTAGCTGAGGGATTCCGAGTTAAACTGATATCTTTTATTAATTTAGAATCAATACGTTATTTTCTTATTTTTTCCTTAATTTATAACTGTGTTCTTTGGATGTTGTCCAGTTTTAGTGGTGCTATATAATTTGGGTGGTACTTTTCATCTTTTCTCTTACATTTTGTGGCCTTTCTTAGCTGCGGCGCTGCTGCTTTTAAAGCGCTGAAATGCTACGGCTGTTGCCAATATATTTTACCAAACGCGCAAGCGGCAGCAACAAAAAAAGCAAGGCGAAAACCCGCTGCCACAAACACAATGTTGTTGTATCTTTAGCCACACGGCCGAAGCGAGCCAAAAAGAACTCGTTTGACTTGTTGAACAATATTTCTTTTCGCCTTTTACTCCGCGTATTTGTTGTGCTGCTGCTGTTTTGTTTGAGTATTCGCTGTTGGCTTTTCTCAGCCACTTTTTCGAAACACACACTTTGCTTTTTGCGGAAATTTAAGGAAATTGTATTATCAAACGATTATCACCAAACTTTTCACACGCGGCGAAAAAGCAGCGGCGACGACAACGGCGACGGCGACAGAAAACGGTGACGAAAACAAAAATAAACCGCGGCGAACAGAGATTTTCAGGGGCTGCAATAGTCGATCCAACTTCAATTTGTCTGCACAGCACTTGGGTATTAACTTGGACACTCTTTCGTATATTGCTACTATATTTACTGGTATTATAGCCAGATTCTGGGAAAGCAAACCGAATTCCGACGGCGACACGAGGAGAACGCGACTGAGAAACGGATTTTCCCTGCTCGCTCCGATTCTCCAATGCGGCTGCGAAGAAAACACACGAAAGACTGACGAGCAGCGAAGACCGGAGACTGGAGCCGGGCTCTCTCCCCAGGATGCCCGAAACCCACCTCGAAACCCACCTGTGGGCAAGAGATCGCTGTAATGAAGATGGCGAGCCGAAGGTGAGTAGTTTCTCCCCAGAGTGGTTTGGTCGGTTCGGTTCGGTTCTCCGACTCGAGAGAACGGAGAAGAATTTCAGAGGTGCACACACAATACACAAAATAAAATCGACGACAGGTCCACAATTAGCCAGGGGAGAGAACTATCTATATGTTCTCTCGATCGGCGATCGGGAGAGCCCACTATAACTGCCCCATTGTTTTTGTGGCAAGTCCAGGCTCTTGGCATGTAAATTAGCTGCTCTCTCTCACCTGAGCACAAAAACCGGTTGGCAGTCATGCTCACCTGTGTGCCAAGTTGTTGTTGCCGAGTGCAGTTGGAGTGGTGGCTCTACACAGAGAGAAAATGCTCGATAAACAAAAAAATGTTTTTTTCCAGATAACAAAATATGAAAGCAGATGCTATGCGAACTCCGCTCTTTCCGAAGACTGGGAAATTGAATACAATCGATATGCTTTAACCACCAACGCCACACTTTTGTTTTCCGTGTACGTTGGCGGAGTTACATGGGACGCAGGGTGGTGAAGTGCGGCGTTGAGTGTTTGGTATGCAGCCCCCTTTCCCCGCCCCTTCCGCTGCCCCATCCTCCGCCTCCTTCTCCTGGTTCTTCCCATTGTTTTTTGTTTTTCGGGGCCTCGAAATTAGGCAGGAGCAACAAAGTTGCGTCAACCACCAGACAATGCAAATGTTGCGTAAGTTGTAATATCCCAAAAAAAGGAAAAGGGGCACAAAAGCAGGGTATAGAGATCGCCTTATAGATACCGACTATTTTCGCCAAGATCTGCACCTAAAATTACCAAATCCATACAAAAGTAGAGTGCATTACTATAAGAGCCACTTTTCTCTTTTATTGAGATACATTTTCAATTCGTTTTCCCCACACAGCAAGGAACATTTGGCGCCTCGAGTAAAAGTTGCCGCAGCAACATCAACCAACATTCCCACCCGCTTTTTGGGGTGGGACCACCGTAGAGCAGATTCCGAGTCCGTTCCCAATTCCGCAGAACTCTCGAGCACTCGCAAATTCTGCAATTTGTCGGGAAAACGTACACGAAAAGTGCGTGCCACATCGCAGCGGAGTTGCAGCTACAGCAACAGTTGTTGCTCGTTTATCGGGAATGCTGCACGTTGGTGGCTCCAATGGCAAGTGGGAATGGGAATGGCATCGCCCTGGTGGATCGCGTCGGTTGCGGGAGGCTTACGTACCGACAATGGACAATGGTTAACCATTTGGTCATTCGCCGCTTGTCAAAACCGTAAATGACGTCGCTTAGCTGTCGGCTTGCATTTGCCACTTTTCAAATGATATGAGTTAACAGCAAGAGCAACAACGTCAGAGCAACAACAATCTTGACAGGCGCTTGAAAAGCAACGAGAGTAATGTCTGGCTGCACCGAAAGAAACCTCGGAGTGCAAACTCACTTATTTATTTATAACTTTATATTCTTAACATTACAATCGATGTTGCGTACAGAGGAGATGACTAACTGAACTATTTGTATAAAATATACATTTACATTTCAGAAGTACTATTTTTTCGTACTATATATACATAGCAATCGAGATCTCGGTTAGAGCGGATTAAGCTGGTCACTGCCGCCACCCACATGCAGACCCAGATCAGAGGCGTACTTGGATTCGCGGGGAGGGGGGCGAACAGCCGCCCGCTGCTTGCAACTCAGTTAATGGCAACGGACACAATTGAGGCTCAGCCGGAGTGAGTTGATGGATTTATGGTCGGAATCGGATGAATGAACGGATGGATACGCTGGATAATTTGCAGCAGCCATTGAAATTTAGCAGATTAGATCAACCGATCAGAGGGCATCTCCAGCTGCTTCCTGCTTTGTCAACATTTCGGGACCAGAACAGCGTACCGCTTTCAGCAATCTGAGATCGACGGCCAACATCCAGCCTTGTTGCCAAAGCCCACACACAAAACGACAAAACGAAGCGAATCGGAATCCATCATGCGAGTAATATGCAAAGTTACATAGCTGCAACATCCTAGCCGCAGAAATATGGAGGAAGAGACTGGGCTGGGCCATTCATTCGCCTTAAAATCAATAGCAACATTGTCGTTGTTGTAGCCGCTTTTCTGCTGTTGTTGTCGTCATCATCCTTGGAATCGTCATCATCAACAACTGCAAACAACATTCGCCTGTCAGCGGCAACATCATAAATTGTTGTTTAGCCACATGTTGCCGGCTGCGACTGCGATTCCGACTGAGAATGAGGCAGGGACTTCGACGTGGACTTGGAATTGGACTTGGACTCCGACTATCGTTGTTCTTTTTTTTCGGCTCCTCGTATACTCTTCCTTTACGCAGGCTCTGAACCTATGGTAATTTGTTGGTTGCATAAGTATACTTGCATTTACCAATTTCAGGTCGGTCTTTTCCCAGCTTTTACCTCACATTTTTCCAAGTAACAGCTTCTTCCTCTAAGTTATTTTATATATCCTCGCAAATTTAGGTAAATAAACTGGAGGAATTCCCTCTCTGATCTCGACCTGTCATCAGCCTCATCATCGGATCATAATTTGAATGAAGAACAGTTTTCGATACCGCAGATTCCTCCCCCCTCCCGCCGTTCTTTGGAGAGGGGATGGGGGAAATGTCAATAAATTTCACTATTTTATTTCGGTAGCCGCCGCCGTCATCGTTGTTGTCGTTGTCGCTGTCTCTCTGGCGACCACGGCGTCGTTCATTAATCTCTAAATTATGCGAATTTTTAATGAGACGCGCATTTTGTTCGATTTTTCATGCGTTCGTACGCCTCCTGATCTGAAGATTTTGTGCACTGAAAAAAATGTGGACAGAAAATAGAAATTTGGCAGTCATTAAGTAAAACAGATTTCTCCTGCTCACCAGGGATTACTTACGTTGGGGTTCAGTAGTTTTAAAACATTAAAAACAACTTATTAGGGCACAAAAGGAAAACAAATTTTTCCTGTGTAGCGACTCGCGGGTGAGAAAGGTCTCTTTCGGAGCTCGGGAGTCCCTCGACTTGTTTGGCCTTCTGTTTGAGTTTTAATTGAAATACGCTTTCGATATAGAGCCGGGCTTAGAATGGCCCGATTGGCTACCAGCTTGGCTTAGACTTCTCCGGCCAGTCGGCTGATAAGGCGGCGTTCCACTTACATGAGCCACATGATCTGCGGGCAACTTGGGTGGGTTCTCTGCCGTGCTAATGAAGTCGGACTGCTGCTCCGATCTGGTATAAATAATAGCACACGAAATTAATTCTAAGTTTTGCTAACCTTTGGCTCCGGCGCTTGCTCTTTGATCTCCGGCTGAAATCTTGCTCACGCCCTGAGAATTCGCCAAAAAAGAAGAGCCCAGTCCATAAAAGCGCCATAAAATACTAATTGACTCCAACTGGGGATTAATTCTAGCGGTGAATTTATGTTACACAACAAGCGAATTGAATACTTGCCGGTTTTATGCGAAAATTATTGAAATCCCATCGATTTGTCAATGATTTAGGAGGGGACCGCGAGGAACGCGGCTTCTCGAAGTCTGATCGATTCTTTGTCGCAGAAGTTATGTAAACGCTTCCCATAAACCAAAATTATGTATAAATTTGCGGCGTTCAGTGAGATTTCTCCGGAAACTTGAAACGGCAAATAAGCTTTTCTCGCTGGTTCATCGAACCTTCTAAATTTCTCATATACCTCGTACTAACAGACTTAAAAGGGTAAACTAAACCGGCAAGCAGCTTACAATATAGCTAAAAAATGTCAATAAAAATACATAAACTTTTAATTAGAAAAAGATTACTAGATTTTCGTTTGTACATATTAAGAATACTTTAGGGCCTCTCAAAAGATATCCTATGGTCTGGAAACTTGACTGTAGAATTTCCACCGTGCCAGCGGCTCACACACTTGGCCTCGGTTTCCACCATCTCTTTCCCCACTTTGCATTGCAAATTTCCCGCTGTCTGGGAGCAACCTGCGATCCCCTGCGTTCCGTGGGCATTATCCTTATAGAGCCGCAGATATCGGTGGCTGCTCATATGCATATGCCACTCACCGGGCAAAACCGCAGCTGAATTCGAGGCTGACCCTGCCGCATCAATAGTCAATAGGCATCAATCTCCAGCAGATCTGCAGCAGGAAAAAGCCGTGTTCCCTGTGCCAACCCCTCCCGCCGACTTCTGCCTTTTGGGGCCTGGGCTCCTCTGTGGGACTGCGGCGCGGCTATATGTTGTCGCCATTTACCAGTCCTCTGTATCTGTATCTGATGCTGGCCATCTACGCTCCTGCTGTGTCTTCCGCTTAAGTCTCAATGTCGCCTCCTCCGTGGCACGCATGTTGCAAACTGATTTCCCATATTTACTGACAACTAGACAAATTTCAGGCATAAGTCAGGCTGGAAAAACAAGGCCCAGGTCCAGTCCCTGCATTTGCATAAGTTCGCGCATTATGTCCAAAACTCGCATTTGTTCTTGGTACTGGGCTGCTGTACTTCTCCGCCGCTTTCCCCCTGCCGCTCGTGGATGCCGTGGCTGCCGCATAAATTATCGTCGGGCATTAAACAAAAGTCAATTGGGCATTCCGCGAAATTGCGGTTGCAGTTTGCAGAAAGAAAGAGAGAGTGCCGCTTGATTGGCCATGATCATGATTATGGCTACGATTACGCCTAAGACTCTCCCTCGAACAGAGAGAAAAATAATTGAGGTTCATTTGTTTGATTACCGAGAAACATCCTATTATCACATTTATAACGTTTCTTCCTTACAATCATTCGTTTATTAACATATCAGGTTTATTAAACACCATTTATTGTGTCTAATATATTTATTAGGCCAACTAATTTGCCACTGTGCAGCGCTCGTTAGATCCCGTCTGACTCGAGCCATTTCCCATCGTTTAGATGAATCG